GTTCCTCAAGTTAACCATAAAAAATGTCTCTTCGCTGCATCTGTGAAGTAGTAAAGTCTACTGTGATCATGGCAGAGACTAATGGTGAAACTCCGACAATTTTCACTTTCCCTAGAATTCAGAAAAGTATGGTTTCTTTCTAAGTATCCATTCCGTACGTTTCAAAGACAAAATACTGGATTTTTAGGCTTGCAGGCCATGCCTATTGGTAGAGAGCTTCAATATATTCATATCCAGCGCTGACCAGCCTCCTTTGAAATGCTATTCCCTTTTTGCTAAGCCGACACTTTGTTTGCTTGTCTGTGGCATGAGCACCTCGAAATCGACTTCACTACCTTTTTTGGTTCGAAACCACCAATGTACTAGAAGTGGAGCACACACTCTTTGGCCGCTTGTTGGCAAAAAGTCAATGATAGCGATGATGCATATATTGATGGCAGATAGTGCTTCTAGTTGAAGTAATTTAGGGCTCAAAAAAGTTCAGAATACATACAATGTTTCCGACAATTAACAGTACGCTTCTCTCGAAGTCATACCTGCCACGACTCTCGTCACGATATTTTCTATGAACAAGGTATGCGCCGATAGTATCCCGTGCTCCAGTCACGTTCCCACGCCTATGGAGGACGAAGATACTACGCTTTCCCACGGACGCAGACACTTTCCCATGGATTTGAACGCATGCAACATCCAGAAGTGCGGGAAGTTACTCTGCGTCTCTGCTCGTCTTTCAACAGTTGTCCTCCAGTCGTCTCGTCGAGCGGACGTGCCTTAAGCCGAGGTCGGTCTCTTGTCGAGCTCTTATAATACCCTTATAATAGCCGTGTGCTTGATTTTCCGTCCGTGCGATTCTTCCACCTCACCTCAGGGATACCAGCTGCGACAGTAGGTTCGAACTGCAATGGGAAGCCTCTACGCCATGCAGCATACAAAAAAGGAATTCTAGTAAAAAGGCAGTTCTGTGATAAGGTGACGCATTTCTGAGAAATGAACTCATAAATTCCAGTAGTACTTCGCAGTAAAACTAAAACTGAAAAAAGAGATAAAGGAGTTCGGAAGCATGCACAAATTAGTCCTTAATCTGGTTCTCTATTCCCTGAGTTTTATTTTCCAAGATTCCATCACTACACAAGCATACCCCTCACAATTATCCTCGTTTACATTTCTCTATATTTCAAGTCACTGGACTATGTCCAATGTCTACTGCTTCATTGCATACACTTGAAGGTGTGTATTACGACCGAACATGTGATTAGGAGAAAATGCGCTCGAAAATGAACGCGATTGTGCTAATTGCTCCACCAGTAACGAAGGAAAGCAAAAAAGACTGCTAAGATCTCTTGAAATGAATGGCGCACTGACCGAGCGTGAACCTCGCCCATACGATCTGTGTGCGGTATTTAATACCGACTGGGGCTTTTAGCAGTTTTTTTCTGCTCTTTTCAAAACTCCTTGGTACAAAAATACTCCTGTTATACTTTCGGTCAAATAACCTACGCCCTCCTAATCTCGAAATATGCATATAGCGTTACTCTTAAAATTTCTCTACACGTCGATTACTTACGCATATCGCTTGCCGCTTTAGAAGCCTCCACATTCTGCTCCGTGCTGGATTTCGACTCCGCTGCCACCCGTTCATTTAACTTAGATCTCACTGAAATAAACACTTCCAAGTTGCAGTAGGTCAAGTATGCCAATATTTTATTCCCAGAGTAGTGCCTATAATCCCAAATATGCATAACATACATGTAATAGAGTACGAAACAGAAGAATTGCACATTTCCTCGAGAACTTTGAATTGGACTGGGAGGTTTATTTTCAAACCGGTGCCACGTAAAATCCGTAGACACGTCTACTCAGATCGAAAGACATAGACTGTATTTCCTTTATTAAAACCGTTAGATGGAAGAGTGGTGTAGTGGCCAGTGGCGCTGATTACCATGCGCGCGGTCCGGACGAATCCCTAGTCGTGGCCCGTCCGGGCTATTCAAGCCCTCCATCTCTCCGCGGTCGTATTGGTTCAATGCCTGGAGACAAACACTGATTCCAATGCACTGGCTGCCCTCCCCCCAAGTCATGATAGTGTGATACGCAAGCGACGCCTTGGTCTGCTATGCTTGCTTAACTCGTTGAGTAAGATAGAAAAGTTCCCAAACTGCCAAACGTATTTTAAACCTTGGAGCCCACGCAGCCCATATATGGGCTGCAGCCTTACGACAGCGTGGGACCTTTCAGCCCACACTTCGGAAGCAAATGTCAACTTTTTCTTTTGCTCCCTTTTCCATTGCATTCGATGAGGTTTCCTCTGCATCATACCGTAGTTTTTCAAATTTGCTGGTACGCTCTCCAAAATTCACGAAATTCACTCTTCGAAAATGTAAACAGCCGGCTACAACGTGTTAAAATAACAAGCATCTCTTAATTTCATGGCTGCTCAAATCATAAACAAAACATAACAAGAGAAAATTTGCCCACCGAGAACAGGGTTCAATCCGCATGCATTGTGAACGCTCAGAATGAATAGTTCCGCATTGGCAAAGTAAAGGGGAGCATCGAATCGGAAGACTTTAATTCCTGGAATTTTGTAAATTGTACACTATTACACAATTATCAAATTTTTATATCAAAAAATTCAATTATTTGAAAGAAGTTTCGAATTTCTTTGAGAGGTTGATGTTGCTTTAAGCCTGATTATTGGCAGACTATACTTCAAACGAATCGCTAGGCTCTTTCGACTTTGCGAGATAATGAAGTGGGTGCTTCATTCAAATGCTCTCGAATGTTCATCAATCAATTACAAAAGATAGAAAAACGCGCTGCCGCGCTCATTCATTATTTGCAGGCGCGGAATGAATAAAAAGAATTGAATTCATCCCGAATCCTTTTATTCTAGGATTATGGATTCTCGATAAGAAGACGCTAACCTGGAATTTCCTCTGCACTACGATAATGGCCGAGACCTTTGAAGTCGGAGGTGCCAGGTATTCGTCCCATGCAAGTACTGTCAGCCCTGAAATTTTGCCGATCTTTGCAGAATATCAATGATCCAGGCTCGTAGCGCAAGATAAATGGTTTCCTGGTTGAATCCCATGACGCTCGCAAGAAGGCCTCTCAATAAAGCATTTTTTATTGGGTGAGTTTTCAATACCGGAGTTGGATATCACCACGGGACTAAGACAATGACGAAATTTGTGCCTTGGAGGAGTGCGTTGGATCGGACGGGCGGTAACGGGTCAAAAGAGCAGCAGGGGTCGGACCTGCACAGAGGTGATAAATTATATCAGGTTGTCGGAAAAGTATTTGTGCATTTGTCAACTTTTTTCAAAAATATTTTTTTCTTCACTACAGCCAAGCCAACACAGACAAACACACACAATCATAATCGCCGAGCCATTGCTGCCGGTCGCTTAGAAATCCTTAGCTGCCAAGATGAACACTATACGAAGTCCTCTCCGAGTATTTCCGTATCATCAAGCTCTCCCTCTTTCAGCTGCTTCGATGGCAGTAGAGTTTATGGAGTTCTGTCTGTGCCAGGTTTGCTGAACACACCAGATGGAGCAGATCGTCTCATTACAAGCTGGGAAATTTCTGCTGAGCGTTCTTCGTAATTTGGGCGACGCTGCCGAGATGAAGTAAACTTTGCCAGGTTTTCCTATCCCTAAGGCGATTCACTTGTCCAAATTATTGTTCAATAGTAGCAGTGGAGTTCACTGGCAACAGTTCTCCATGAGCCAAATATTTTGCGCTTTATGAGCGCTCAAAGTTGCATCCTTGGGTGCTATCCTGGAATCGTCATTGTTCTGCAAGACGAAGAAGAAAATGCGCAAAGACTTTTCCGACAATCTAGTAGTAATGCTGTGGGAAAATCCAACGATTCTATTGTCTTTTGACCTGGCAAAGGAGCGCTCTCCAATGCCGCAGTATGGACTGTAGCATGCTGTGGTCAGAATTGAAAACCAACTGAAGAAGTGTTCTGGATGCAAAATTGTGCAGTTACAGAGCGCGTCTACCTCTATTCCCTTTTTCGCAAAAAAAAAGTATTTGGAAGCCCCTTGGCCTCAAAACAAGTTGAAATCCACAAAATATGCACCACTGTGTGCGAAAGACGACAGATAGCAAAGCGAATGCTATTCCGATAATGAGTCCCATATTGACATTGATCAGAATTACAGCTACTAACGTTACCAAGAAGATCATCTGAAATATCCTACATTTAGATTCGTTCTATTTAGTGTATGCAATCTCAGCGTTTTCGAAAAGGTGATATTTGCCCTGTCGAAACATAAAGCGTTCGACTTTCTTAATTTAGCAGCTCCAAATGGCTTGAAATCGGAGTAAGCCATGCACTTACAAAATCTACAATACTTTCTTTGCAGAGTCGAAATCCTCGAAAAAGTTGAACGAAGAGATCTTTCATAGCAACAACTATTATGGAAGCAAGAATGGCCTAGAATTCACCATAAACTGTTCTGGAATTTGCGCACCTCTGAGAGTATAAGAGATGTAAAAGGTATAACTATATTCTAACTATCGCGAATATCTTCAAAGGCAGAGTGAGGAGGACAAGCAGCGGCAATTAGGAGAGGTTAAACTTATACTCTGCTGCATATTTTACATGACACAGAACTTTCAATTCAAGAAGTTGGTAGAAAATGAGTAGGAAAAGATCCCATGCCGTTCGATTTGTCATATTATGAATCTATAAAGAGGAACTCCACACTACTTCATCCAACAAGAAATATGGAGCTAGAACATGAAACAGAAAGCCGTTGATAAATTGTTATACATTCTTTGACAGAGACTACATTTTAGTAGATGTTTGTCCCAACATCTAACGAACAAAACAGTAACCTACGCTAGATCAAGAGTCGACGCGCAAGAAGAAAGCGTAATGCTACATAGAGGGGTTGTTAAACTTTTTAATGGTTGACTTCTTCAAGTGGTTGACCTGCTTGGAATGAGTCGTTGGTTTTGATTTTGTTCCACGAATTGAGTAGGTGACCCATGATTAACTAGTAGTATACTTGAGTTCCATTCCACATGTCGTGTAGACTCACTTGCCTTCCATCTCAAGGCCTCCCAACACATCAAGCTTGACCGGAGACTCTTTCCAAAAAAGACAAGATGGATCCTCGTGTACATCCCGACTACATTGGTCAAGCTTACCTGATTTCATTTCACTCGCACAAGCTTTCCCTGAATTTTTGAGGTGGGCAAAATCTAACCACTTCATGACATAACGATGGAAAATCTTTCAGTTCCGATGTTTCTCCACTTATCTATCCTAGTGCGCGTAAACTTACTGGTTGGCATTCTTGTATCCTCACCTTTGGCAGATGATAAATAAATGAAGCAGCGCCATAGACAAAACCGATCATTATCGTACAACATACCACTGTCGACATCTGAAGAGCTATCTACTAATTACAATGTGAAAACTAAAGCCCACCCCCCCCCTCCCACGACAAACCTGGCTTCTTGTGCCGAGTTTAACCTGCATCATAGTCCTTCCTAGAGAGGAACCGCCTGCGAAACAACCGAAAAATGACGCTATCGAATTCATAGATCCCAAGGCGAACCATTCCTAAAGTCCCCTATCACGACAGTGAATAAATGAAGTTGGAATCTTCGCACAATCTCACCTGATTAGCATCAATTTCATAATTGAGTTTTTTGGAGATCAGTTTTGCAAGAGCTATATGAATGACAAACGAGATTATGGCAATACTCAAAGCTTGCCAAACAAGTTCATCAACTCGATCGAGGGGTGGTACGCGAGGCGCAGGAATACCCGACTCGACCTGAATTGTTATCAAAATGTCTCTTTGTCGGTCACGTTGAGAGTACCTAGAGAGTACTCACCTTGCCGACGATTGGAACATTAATTTGGTATCGAGTACCATCAGCAAGAAAAACAATTAGAGTTGAAAAGGCGACCTATGAGGAAAACTTGGGCTTTGATTATGATGATAATCTTTAGTGTTGAAATGAAGAAGTTGTTAATGATTTTGAGAGAGATTCCAATAAGGAAATTATGCAAAACTTGACAAAAAAATTACAGGAAAGCAGTTGTTATTCCTGCAAATGTCTATGCATCACCATCCGCTCAGGTCCTACAAATGTTGTACAACTGTATGATGTTTCTGTATTCTGCATGCGTTTTTGATTTTGTTTATATAGATTTTTGAGGTTTTTGTGATAGGGTTCCTCTATTCTCTATTTGCAGCTGAGTTTCTATCGGGTTAGCCTATCAGTCAAGCTGTTCCTTGATAACAAATACAGTATTATATGTTTGTACGAGCGCTTCTCTACAGGACGTGTTCACCTGTACTACATCTGCACCAGCTGGTTCACAGTGGAATAAGGCTCTACGCTGCACACCTGGCATGCCGATTGTGGTGGGTATACCAGCGTTCCGGATCTTCAGCAAACTCCTATGACGCCGTACGTGTCAAGTTGATATCGCTGCCTGCTGATGCAAGTCGTATAGCAAGCGAACACCCTCCGATGCGTAGTCAGTGATCAAATTAGCCCTTTTTCAAAGCGTTCATTTCATTTCAGTTCACACTATTTATATTCAGGCTTTCGCAGTTTCTGATTTCAACCTGAAGCGCCTGAGCTTGAGTTTTGTTTCTCATTCATGGACTAATTTGCCATTCTATTCTTTGAAGCCGGCTACGAACCGCTTGGCTCAAGGCATATCTGATGATCTTCAACTCTCGCTTTTCGGTATTCGTTAGTCCGTTTAGTTACACTGAGATTACCAACCCTACCCACATCTTCATTAACTGTCCAGTTAACAGAAAATACAATTGTATAATAATAGAACATTGGATTATATCACATTTGAGGAGCTTTTGCTCTACGTAATTTTTTTGGTGTTCCACGCTGTATGCCAGTTGCTGCACAATTTTTCCAGGTACCGTACTAACTTTGGCCCGTCTAATACACCATAGTGAGCGTAAGAAAGTATATGTATACCTGAATAAACAAACCAACATCTGCCTTGTGTTTGGGGGGGGCCTAGTACATGCGAAATTCCATTGGCCACAACGTCTGTCACCAGCTTGAATTTGTCTTGTCTTTTTGAAAGATAGGGAAAGGCTACTTATGGGAAGATCGAAGATTAATTTTGTTATACTGCAGCTTGCCATCGCATCCAAACTGTTTGTTTACCCCTGTAGAGAGTTGTGTGACGCCAACTTCACTGGAAGAGAGGCTATAAAACTTGCTTTTCTACGTTCACTGGTCAATTTAAAGCCATCATGGTAACGGAATCACCTATCTAACTTGGATGTTATATGTTATATGTACCTCGATGATCAAAAGCAAATTAATGTTCACTCCATAAGCGAATATGAATACATTCATCATCGAAGAGCTTGAGTAGAGTTCGGATCTCCCGAAGCAGTTACGTACTCGACGAATTCACTCGCAGTCAGCGTCCTCGAAAACACTGCTCCTACTGAGCTTAGGCTCGGACGTCAAATGCCTCATAATTTACATCTAATGATTGAATTCTACTATTACAGCAGAACTGATAGCCACACTCCTTGGGAATAGTCAAGGATCTAAAATCTAGGACAAGCGTCCACGGTCCTATTTACTTTGCCGCTGAATGAGACAAGATTCGCTGGTGATGTACAACGAACACTTGCAGTTTCTTCTTCCTTCTCCCTGCATTTGTCGTTGAGACAGAATTTTGCTCTTTGAAAAAAACATTGGAAATGTATTAAAATTTTGTTTCTGATGTTACAGGACTACTCCTCCATCCGCCGAATGTTGTTGAACGTACTCACCAGAACGAATTCCATAGGAAACTTCACGTTAGTCCACTTCCTCAGAATAGGGTCCATGAAAAAGTTGGAAAGCAGAAGCAGAAAAATTGCTATAACCGAGATCACAGCGGACGAAATTTTGATTGTATTCAGCCTCCGGAAGAAACAAAGATAGAACTGTAATGAGCAGCAGCTTCGTTTTTGAATAACTTATATTGTCCACTATACATTCGCAAAATAAATGATCTTGACTTCAGGAGGACAGCGCAAACCATTAGGTGACCTCAGATCATACAAACGGATCTCATCCCAGTTGTCTAGTAGTTAACCCGTTTTTGAACTCATCCCTCAGTGAAAAGAACGATGAGCACCACATTATCATGGACACTCCCTTATCCATCTACTTTCTCGATAAAGTGCATACTTTTGGCGAAAGGTATAGCAGTGGTCAACAATATATGCGGTTCTTGATTTTTAGTGATTGCACTTAATTCCCATGAGACGCACAGAAAAAAATGAAAGCAAGTATAATAGAACAAGTCGTGGCGCCTTTCGCCAGGGCTGGACAAACTAGCAGTCTTTTTACGGAATATTGGCTGAGTCCAAGGTGCGCTGCGATTTGTCGTTAGGTCTGACTCTTGCCCTGTGGGCAGATTTCAGACCACAAGGTGATCATGACTCAGCTCGGATCAGCTAGAAGTGTGACGTGGAAAAGAGAAATCGGGAAGATTCGGACTTGGAGACTCTGTTTTTGAACTTTTGGTGAAACTGATGAACAGCCGGAATACTAGGGCGGGTTCCGAAGTGCTCCAGAACTTGGTATTCATAAGTTATACTTAGGCTTGTAAGCAAAAGGAACTAAAGCGAACACTCCAACCCCCTACACGTCGAACTTGGATTGCACCGAGCTCACAATATGTGCTTTTATGGTTGGAGAAATAACAAACCTTTATTAGGCCGAATGCTTCGCTGGTTGGTGGAACTCCATCTACTCCTGTCATCGACTTCAACTGTGAAGTGAATACGTGAATTGCAGCGCCGGAGGTTAGACCTAATGAATTCATAAACTTTTTATAGCATCAACCTACATGATGGTAATATTAATTTGGGACTTCTCGAGCACATTGTTTTTTATTACCGTTTTATTTTTTTACCGTAATTTCTGCCCACCCTGCATAGTCGACGTCAGCATTACCTTCACACAAAACCTCTACTTTCAATCGCATAGTTACTGCTGGCCATTGTAACTAATACCTGGTTGCTGCCGGAACGTATAGACAAGACGCTTGACGCAGATACAGATGGCTCTATCGCATCCACAGATTTTAAGGTTATCAGTTAACCTGAGCAATGATCTGGATTTGAGATATATCAATTGCTGGACCAATCCAACAACCCATCACCCTTCCACTACGAAAAAGGCGTTTTGCAGACAAAGACAGACTGATATACAAGAACGGGGACAAAACAAAGACATTCCACTCAAGACTTCGCCGCGCAACGTTCCACCGTTGATGGAAGTTTAGCAATAATGGCGTTCATTAAATGCATCTCCCTTCAAGCAGAAGCAGAGGCAAGGAAGCTCAACTTAATCGCTCCAGCCTGCTTCATAATTTCCTCAATCGAGCACTGATGGCTAGATGATTTCTAGGGGTAGCTAGAGCAGCAGCAAGACCCCCTCTAACCAGCGACTCGGATAACGTCGTCATGATCCGTTGAGAACTTCGTTGAGCCAGAACGTAGCACCGTGGTCCCGTGGACAATTCTGTGATGTCCCAAGGTGGAGGACTGCTATGAATATTTTGATGATTGAAATGTGCTCTTTATTTTTCAGCTGCAATCATTTGGTTTGAATTTAGCACCTGTAATCAATTCTGTTCTAAGTGAGGGAAGAGTGACTTTCTTACCTTGCCTTCAACACAAAGTATATGCAGGCACTTCTTACCCATGGGGGCGACGAATATACCTACTAGCTACTAGGTACACCACGATCCAGAGGCCTACGTCAGGGGAAAATCGCTCGAACTACTCCAAACCAACCTTGAACTAAATGATCGGAAAGCCACACTGCCAGAAGTCCGGCATTGAGGAGGCCGAAGAATATCTGCAAGTGATCAGTTTTGAGAAGTCAGAAGGCATAGCAATTCAGATAAATGACCTGCCAAAGGCCAGCGAGAAGCGTCACCGAGGAGGCAACACCCACCGCTTCATCTGGAGGAACTGCTGATGCTGAAGTCTGACAGCACACTCTTGACGGTGCTGTATTATTGGACTGAGCTGTAAAAGAAACCATAGACAAGGTACTTCTGCTGGCATCTGGAAACCTACCTTGCGGAGGCTTGCTGCCAAACTGCTCAACAACACCACCAACCATGAGTGCAGCAATCGCGAAGCAGCCTTAACTTATTACTTTGCCATTCTCTACACATTCACGCACCAAAGCAATACCTGGTGATGTGTGACGCGAAGTCCCAAATATTGCGTAAAAGACTGGCCCAAAGATTGCAGTTATCAGACCGTATATGGGCGGTACTCCAACAAGATAGCCGTATGCCAGTCCTTAAAACTCTACTAGAATTTAATTACAGAGGTTTAAGTTCTCTGAGGGCATTGTCCACGGAAATAGCGTTATCAATAGTTTCCATCGAGTAGCACGGCTCTTCGCAAGGAATGTGAAATTTCTTTGTTTGTTCCGCAGAAGAGATCTTCCCTTTCCACTACATAGTTGCTTCTGTGGAGTTTCCGACTGACGATGAGTCGTAAGGAAAATTGGAGAGACGAGTTTTCCGTGTACGATACCTCTCATTGTCGGCACTTTCAACTCTCACCTTGAGGAAGAGCCATTATAGAAAGCATCATTCCGCCAATTATGTCCGCTCTCAAGTCCTTCTTCCAGCTGTACGACGGGAACCACTTCAGGACTGGTATCCGCCCCATCCAAAAATGAGCCCAATCGATTAACCGCCACTTCAGCACCTGCAGGTGAGAAACCTAGACTTATAGTAATACATATCACATGACCCTAATTAGTGACCTAGCTGACAAAATATGTAGCAACGTGGTGGAATCTACAATCAAGAATTTTTGCTACAGTCCTTTATGAATACCTTGTTGTTGTACCATCCCACCTGGAAGCTAGAGGGATCGCTTCTATAAGGGTAAGCCCAGAGCTGAAAGCGTTCAAGAGCGCTTCACAGTAATGAGCTGCCGATCAAACAGAAAGTGAGAAGGAATGCAAGAAAAACCGACAAAAAACTTAAAAAAAGGAGCTCAAGCTTCCAGTAGGGTCGGTGCCAAAATTATGGTAACCAAGAAATTTTACTCAAAAACGACTATAAGCCTGATGAAGCAAATCAACTTCAAAAAAAGCTAGGCAACTCAAAGCTAGGTTTGATTCGAAATGCATTAACGATTGCATTAATACAGGTCTTCAGATGAAGAGTAAAGGCGCGCACCCTGGCACGCAGGTGACTCGTCATAATGATTCCAAGCTTTTGTAGTGCGAATGAGACAGAGTCCCCGTGGTTTTGGTTTGCTCTCGCCTCCTGGTTTGTCATGCAGGAAAGCCAGCTGAGTTCGGTGGGATAACTAAAGTTGTTAGAAGGCTATGAACACGAAAAGTCCCTCTTTGCACAATTTTTGCCCTATGACGAGGTGCGTTATCTTACTGCAACGATCGAAGGAATGCACTCAAGTGGCTTCTTGTTCATGACAGACACGGGACTTGCGTCTAAGTAGCCTTTTGAAACAATTTTCATCTCGACCGTACGAAAGTCATACGGAGATACAACGAGTTCCTGCACTTGGTATGCCTTGTTAATAACTGTAAGCTTTGAATGCTTCAACTTACTGAAGCGTTTAAACATCACACCATAAGAGCTTTGCTACAATGAAGCGGAGCTAGATGTAGCGTGTAGAACTCATCGTCTGTTCAATTTGAGGACTGGCATGCCATGATGTAGTTGTTTCATTAATTTTGACAATTCTATGCTGCATGGTTTCGTTTGGAAAGGACATTGTCCTCTATCTCGCCGTGAAGGCGAAAGTGTGTTTGACGCCCACTCGCTGTTACCATGATTTTGGCCCACTCTGTGCATCGAACGCGGTAGGTGGGAAGGGTTGCAATGAGTGTGAATGGTTACAAGTCCGTGACGATTAGCGTCCCAACCGCGCATCTTGTGCGATGAAGCTGGGACGATCTCTGTAGGTACGCACCCAACACGTTCATCGCGGCGCAGTTCCTACTAGTAAGCCTAATCTCGGAGCGTACCATGAACGGCACTGCGGGATAGAACTGTATTATTTTGTAAATTGGACAAGAAACGCAAAGAGGTGCGTGACTATGGAGAAAAAGCAAAAAGCACCATGGAAAACGTTGAAGTTCCCCTCATAAGGTCCACTGTAGTCGACGAGAGACACAGGCAGAGAAGATGCAAGCCACAGTCGCAGGCGAGAGGGCACAGGAAGGATAACCTCTCGACGCCTCATCCCGACCCACTGCTTTAAGCAGCTTGCTTGATTGATAACCTGATTCTATTGTTTACCAAATTCTACCTAATTTTGATTATTTCTACTAGCATGAAAGTGAAAATGGCAATTATGGCGAGCCAAATATTCTGATTTCAGTGAGCAATTTCAAGAGGAATTTAATGGCTCTGGAATTTTTGGTAAAAGTGGTGAGAGATAGATACTGCTAAACTTTTCGATGTCTTCCATTGCTTTCAATTCTGACATAAAGGAAGCTGACCGCTTTAGCTATAGATATCTTATTCCTACCTGTTTAAAATGCCAGTGTACTTTTCTTCCCAACGTTAAATCCACTCTGCGAAATCCATAGTGTTTGTCAAAAAGTTGCTGAAAACAGACTCCAGCTCTAATCGGTGAAGTGTACAAACAGTGCTCTTTTGAAACGCTTTCACACATGCATAGTTGCCTCTAGCGCTTATAGTTCGCCAACCCTGCAACTTTCGGACATTTCACCGGATGCGTTTTTTCATATCTTGTTTTCCATCTATCTAACCTCTCACCAATGCGCATGACTGCAGCAACAATGGTCCGTATGCTATCCTCCCCGAAGGGGTTAGGGACGAAAATTCCTTTAAATTTTCTCTGTCTTCCCAACTGGGATTACCCTGATAAAAGGCCTACATTAAATGTATGTATGTAGGTTAAAGTAAACATGCATTGAAAATGAAGAAACTACATCGTTCAAAGCAAATAAATTTAAAGGAGGGAACTTTACGTCATCTAGCTTCGGGGAAGTAGCATACGGCCCAATATCTAGATACCCTCATTTGATAGCTTTTTCATTACCGTTTGTTGTGAGAGGTTAGTACAAGTGATCAATCTATATCTACTTCATTCTCAATGTCGGGTTACGTGATAGCAAAGCTATAATTCTGTACAACAGGGGTCTGATGTAGTGAACGCTGGCTCACTGTTTCTACCAACAAATCGTAATGAGGCTACTTTTGAAGAATAGGTTCACCTTGAAGAGGACCGTGATGAAAAATTAGGGTGACAAATAAGTGGTCATGGAGAGCAGAGACCGAAATGCAGAAGTGGACTGCAGGGGTTGCAAAAAGTACGGTAAAAACATCTATCGATCATAAAAAAGCAATGTGGTCGAGAAGTCCTAAATTAACGCAACCATCATATTGACGGAAATACCTAGATTTCCGATCTGGAGAAGGCGTTCGACCGCTACCGCGAGCAGTACTATGGAGATCGCTCAGGGAACGAAACGTGCCAGAACACCTGATCTCGCTGGTGAAGGACATGTACGAAGGAGCCAAAGCAGCCATACGCACCCCTCACGGCCTAACAAAGGAGTAAACATCACGGTTGGGGTGCATCAAGGGTCAGCTCTGAGCCCGTTCCTCTTCCTCCTAACACTAGATGTCCTGGTGAAGGGGCTCATGGAGGGACCACTGAAGACCATCCTCTACGCTGACATCGCCTGATAGCGGATAGCAGAGAGGAACTTCAAGCCAAGGTGCAGAAATGGCAGAAAGTCCTGGCAGAAGGTGGGCTCCGGCTGAATGTCAAGAAGACCAAGTTCCTGAGCTCCAGAGCCGATCGTGGACGGCCATGGTGAGACCATCGAAAGAGTGGAGGACTTCCGATACCTTGGGAGCGATCTGGCAGACGGTAGTGTGGATCAGGCAGTGAAGGCTCGGGTCAACGCTGCATGGATGAAATGGAGGGAGTCCACTGGAATCCTCTGCGATCGAAGGTGCTCCAGAACGCTCAAAGGGAAGGTGTACCGGACAGTGGTAAGGCCTGCGATGCTATACGGCAGCGAGTGCTGGCCCCTGAACAAGAATCACGAAAGGCAGCTTCACTCCGCTGAAATGAGGATGCTGAGATGGGCCTGCGGCTGGACGCGGCTGGACAGGGTCAGAAACGAGGATGTCAGAGCGGTCATGCAGACTGCCCCTGTCCAGCTGAAGGTACGAGAACAGCGTCTGCGATGGTATGGGCACGTGCTAAGGAGGCCACAGGATCATCCGATAAAAAGCGATGGACTTCGAAGTGCAAGGCAAGCGACCGCGAGGAGCCCCAAAGAAGAGGTGGAGAGACGTGATCAAGAAGGATCTAAGTGAAGTCATGGCCACAGCAGAGGACGCCCTGGACAGACTAAAGTGGCGACGACTGACAAAGACAGCGGACCCTGCGACTGCGCGGGACTAACGCTAGGGAGAAGAAGAAGAAGAGAAGAAGATTATATTGGCTTGACGTTATCGAACAGATAACATGCTCTTTGGAGTCGCCGCTCTCTGCGATGATAAATAAACGAAGATTTTCTAGAAAGCCACCGACACTGTTGTGTATGGAGGTAATGTCGAGACGGTCCAAGGCTTTTAAGAGCGACTGCTCAACTAGTCGATCTTCTATTACGCTTGCAGCAATGCTTTGCCTTCGACACACTCAATGCAGAGCACAACACAGGATTCAGTTGGGAGAGCCATGTTGTCACTTCTCTAAAATGATGAATTCCACAACATTCTGCTGACATCGATTTTCGGACCAACTGTGTGGGCGCCCAAACTCGCTTTGATGTCCTGTCTCTCCTACCGAGGGTCCCTTCGTTTTGAACCATCAGCCGGAACAGAGAGATCGAGACGATTCATTACAGTTTTATATATTGGCCAGAGGTGTCCGAGGTGTCTTCGGAGCGTGATTCTTGCTCTTATGCTATCTCTGAACCATTACTGAGAGGCTGGACGGCTTTCGACTATGCCTGTGGTAAGGTCGGTCTACAGCTGAACCTAACGAAGACGATGTTTATGAGAAACGGATTGGTTCCTGATGCCCCACGGAACGAACATCACCGAATGCTCCAGCTACGTGTACCTAGGTCGGGAAATCAATATGATGAACGATCTAGCTCCAGAGCTGAGCAGGAGGAAACGAGCGGCATGGGGAGCGTCAAGAACATCGAGGGAGTAGTGAAGAAGACGAAGAACATCCGGCTCCGTGCCCACCTCTTCGATTCCGCTGTCCTTCCTGCCCTAACCTACGCCTCAGAGACTTGGACTCTGCGCAGGCAGGACGAGCATGCGGTCAGCGTTATCCAACGCGCTGTCGAGAGGACGATGCTAGGAGTAACCCTATACACGCAAGTGCAGAGGGGAATCCGGAGTGCCGAACTACGCCAACGATCGAAGATCAGGGACGCTGCCGTTTTCGAAGATAAGGTGGGCCGGACACGTCATGCGATTTTGCGATGACCGTTGGACCAGAGCGGTTACCGACTGGATCCCTCGGGACGTCAAACGAACACCTGGACGACCGCCGGCCCGATGGTCAGACTTCTTCACGAAAGCTCTGAACGAAAGGAATGAAGGACTTCGTGTCCCTCGAGCGAGGAGGATCCACTGGACCACTCTAGCACGCGACAGGGACGAATGGAGACGTTGCTGGCGCCCGCTCGAGCAAATCGATGATCAACGGGACCGCGAGTGGTCAACACTTCGAATCATTTATGAACCTGTTTTCTGATAATTATCTCTAGCTTCGCGTCTCATCTGACTTATCATTTGTAAGATTAGGATATATCCTTCTAATTTATAAAGCGCTAACTTTGTGTGTCGGTTTGTATGTCTGTATGTGTCCGCAAAATGAAGTGAGTGAGTGATAAGGAAGCTCATGGGATAAACAAACCGCTAACAAATCGGGTAGCTTACAGGATTTGAGATATCAATGTTTTGTAGCAGGATAGTTGTGATAACACTCTTAGGGCTATATAAACACCTGCTTAGCACACTTCCGTTCATTCCACATGGTGCTGCAGTGGCAGCTGGAGGGCAGTGGAGGAAGGGAGGATGAGGAAGGGAAGCGAAAAATCTACCGTCATATCATGATTGTGTCCCTTCTACTGTATGAAACACCATTGTGTTGCATACGCGTCACTTCCACGAGGTGTTGGTGTCACAGGAGGAAGGGACCATAGCGGAGGATAGAAAGCTTGCGCAGGAAAGGAAGGTCCCGGCGGTTGACGGGGGACTAATCTGGTAGGATATAAAAAAAGAACCACCAAGGAATCTTATGTTAGCCGGTAAGGAAGATACGAGGCACTTGAAAGAGAAACAGGGTGCTCACCTAAGATGTAGGTGAATTCGTGAGAAGCGAGTACTTACCCCCGGTACATCCCTCATCTGCCTCTACTCATGCATTTCATTGCATGGGCGCGTTGTGCATTTCGCATGTGTACTGTTGTATCCGGCAGGTCTGCTCCCTTTGAAGATGTGTTACATTTGAGTATCCTTCGTGGCGGAACCGTGTTAGAGCTATGAAACTTTTTTCAAACATGCGTACGACTTGTACCGTGCCACTGAAGAGTGCAAGAAACACGTCGCTTTCTAACTTTCAACTCCGAAGGCGTTATAGTTCCTCGCGACGGTGTTACAAAAGTTGGAAAATCAGTCGAGGGATTCCCACGTATTGATTGAATGTCATCTTATAAGAACAACGTTGTGTTGGCAACATGAATTAATCCTTCGTTTTCGGCGTTAGATCCACCTCGAATTTATACGACTTGTTCTTAACGTCGATAGGCGGACTTATGGGCAGCAATCGTGGACAACGAGCACGACGGCTGGTTGCGATTCGATGACGCCGTAAGACGAAATGGCAACTGGACTGTCTCTATTTGTTGTGCAGACTTTTGAGATGCTAAAACAAGGTTTTCTCAACCATATGAAGCAGTTTCTGTTAAGAATGACGCGAGTTCAAGATGCAATAACCAAGATCGACACCGATGGAAGATTACTTGACACCCGAGCAAGGTTGTGCGCCGCGCTGATTGAGTGATCGCTCTCGCAATCTACTAACCTTGGGGGAGCGTGCAACAGAATCGTCCGGGACTGGCGCCGTCGCGCGCGGCCACTTGCGCGGCGCCGTGACGCGGCACTTTTTCGATGGGCGCGGCAACAGTAGACTTTGTCGATTGGAGCGACAGATTTGCTGCCGTCCACATTAAGCCTTTTGGCGCTGGCCCGTCAACTTTAACGTTTTATTTTCTTCTTATTTTTAGGCCCGCTTCATTGCTGACGGCTCGTGCGGTCTTAAGGGATCAAGATCAATAGTTTAATTGAAATTTCAGGTACGCGAGGGCGGAGGAGACGGCGCCCGTGGTGTGAATAAATTCCGAGTTGGTCAGCATACTCCTGTAATACAAGTTTCGTTATGGAATCATTCAAAAACCAAGACAGCGACTCAGCCGCATTAACTGATTAAGCACATTCCCCTACCGGCTTCAGATGGCTTCCGCCGGCCATGTTATGAGCCTAAAATGTTAAAGGGAGGAGTCGGGGTAGCCCCTGTGAGAAATCGAATGACGCTCAACTCGTCCACTACAGTCGCGACGTCGCGGCCGCGACCACAAGCGCGGGGCTCCGGACGATTCTGTTGCTACACAC